CCACCCGTGCTCCCTCCTCCAACGCCATCTTCCCATCTCCACCTCACCATGGAAAGGGCAAGACAGGAGGCATCGACCGGCGGGTGGCGCCATCAGCAAGGAAGAGAGGAAGATGCGGTGCAGGAAGGAGGAGGCCGTTGCGAGGAGAGGAGGGGGAAAAGGAGACGTCAGGGGGGGGGAGTGAGGATGCGGTGGCGGCGGCGGCTGGGAATCGGGAGGAGATGGGTGGCCTTTTTCACCACGGGGGAAACACGTCTAGGTTAATCCCAGTCTCGGTAGAAACACGCGCACCCAAATGCATCGAAAAACCACCTCGTTTCTTTGCCCCACGACCAAACCAGCCCCACCCGTCATACAACATCAAACGAAAAGCTCAGGTAAAGAAGAGATTAACGGTGTACCGTCCGCCAGCAGACGAAAAAGCACTGTGATAAAAGAATCGTTCGGTCCACGACGGCGTGCGCACGAGATGGCTTCAGAAGGGCGGGTAGCATAGCGTCCTTTATATGCTCCATTACAAGTAGGAGGGAATTTTTTTAGTCTATGGGTGTATATATGCATCCTATATGAAAAACAAATTTACTAATCAAAGAAGAAGTAAAAAAAAATTCAAATATTTTTGAAATAAACCTAGCCTTCCATTGTACTTGTAAAAAAATCAAAAAAAAAAGGAAAACCGCCCGTTGACTTCTTTTAGAAAAAAGCCCTGAAGTCAACACTGGACTTTTATTCGTGAAAATTATATACTACAGTTCAAAAGAATGTCTAAGCTTGTTCTAAGAAAAACCTCTAAACTTTTTTGTCTTTTATTTTAGTTATTAAATTATTGTAAACAAGTTCACGGTGGGCCTTGTCTATCCCGTACCATTCCCCTCCGAGGCCTCAGTCACCGACTCACCGGTCGCCACTCCGTGGAATCCCCAGACCTAAAAACCACTCCGCCGCCGGCGGCCATCCCCCGTCGCAGCCTACCTACCAAGCCATGGAGAAGCCGGTGGAGGAGCCGTTCTCGAGGCTCACCGACGACCTAACCGCGGAGATCCTCTCCCGCGTGCCCTACAAATCACTCCGCATCTGCGAGTGCGTGTGCCCGGCCTGGCGCGCCGTCGTCACCGACCCCGCGAACCGGAGGAAGATCGTGCAGACCCTGGCCGGCTTCTTCCACATCGTCACCGACGACGAGGCCCCCGGCTTCGCCGTCAGCTACGCCGACCTGTCCGCCTTACCCTGGGCGAGCGCGTCCCCAAGGCCCACCCGCGCCTGCCACTGCCGCCCGACCGCACGGACTGCTTCTTCTATCCCGAGGATTCCTCCGACGGATTGTTCCTCACCCGCGTCATTCCACCCCTTACCTGCAGTCAGCGTGATGAAAAGTTTCTTTACATGGTCTCCAACCCGGCCACCGGCGATTATTTTGTGCTTCCTCACTCTGGCTACACCGGCGGCCACCGCCGTGCTTACCTGGGCTTCGACGGCGATGCACCCACCCAAGAGTTTCATGTGTTCGAGTTCTCTTAGAGCATCTCCAACAGGCGCACAAAAAGTCCGCGCCCAAAAAACAGATAGTGCAAATTGTGAGGCACGCGCAATCCGGCGCCTCAAATATGCTGCGCGCGATAGCGTTTTTCAGTGCCCGCCCAAAAGCTTTTTGCGCTAAAGCTTCTGCTGGAGCTGTCCGGCGCCCAAAAAAGCAAACTTTTAGTGCGCGGGGCTCTTTTTGTGCGCCTGTTGGAGATGCTCTTAATGTTGGGATTTATCAGTGGGATGGGTCTTGCCCTGATGACATATTCGTGCCTTGGGAATCGTTGCGGAAGCTTTCAAATGTTGCTCCAAAGAAGAGGTTTCAGGTCGACTTGGCCCTAAAATTCACTGGAGTACACCCACATGCCAATATATAATCTTCTTGATATCTTTTTGGGACGGTGAGCTGATTGCGTATGATCTGGATCATCATGAAAGCACGGTTGTGTATCACATTCACCCTGACTATGAGAGGTCTAGGCCATTTCTCCCATATGTGTCATTGCTGTCCCGCCTACCACTGGATGGAGGAATGCAGTTGGCAACTCCAAATTGATGAATGATGTTCTGCTGATAAAAGAAAAAATAGGCAGCCATGGGTGAGATGCTCTCTTGCGTTTTCAACTGTAATCTTCAGACATTTCGGTGTGTCCCTGTTTGGCTAAGCCAGAATTGTTTATGTTCTATGTGAGATTTTCTCGCAGTATGATTTAGGTATACATGGCATGTCTTCTGGATAAGCCCTTCTACATATACTGACTGCCATTGCAGTATGGGTTACATTAGTGGAAAAGGCCTAAGTGCCCTTTGTTTTAGATCAGCACACAATTTGTTTGCTGACTTCTTTGGTCATGCTTAGATTGGTGGCATATTTTCAAATGAAATATTATGTTTCACTTTTGTTTGATGGCTCCTATTAATTATTCCACATCAGTCTGTAGAAGCAGTTCTGTTATCTCTTATTATCTCTTGTTGCAACAGCAACCCTTCGATTTATCTCTTGATGAAGTCAAACAACTAAATACTAATCATTTCTGTATATGGAACTGAGCGTGCTCAGTAATTGTTAGACATAATCACTATCCATTGCAGATGCATGTTGTATGTGAATCACAAGATAAGAGTCAAAAGAGAAGCATGCTTTCATCACATTTTTTTCATCTTATCTAATGGCAGGCAATGCTTTGCATTTGCTGTGTACCTGTGTTTGCAGTGGTTGCTAGACCAGCCCTTTTACATCTGGAGGATGCTGACAGAATTCAGAGACGCATGCCAACGACCTCCACACCGCCGCTACTCGATGTACATTGAAAGATGTAATTCAGAGATGTACATTGAAAGTTCAATGTACATGTGGGTTGTATACTGCTGCAGTGCGCTGTTTACTTAGATTCTGCATGGTGTGAGTGGAGCAGTAACTCCGAAATTCAAGTTAATTACTCTCATAACATTCTGAGTTCGTTGTTTTATAGATTAGCGGTGTACCAACTGAAAGTCGATTTCTCAGGTTGCTGCACTGCAAATTACAGAGTCCGTAACCGGTGTCAAAGACCCAATTTCACCGCTCAAATTTGTAAGTAAAATGTTACTAAGCGTGAGAGTACTATATACATCATTGTTCTTTATTGTGAATTTTCATAATTTTACAGTTGTCAGTGGGCCAATATTTGTCCTCCATTTGTTTATCCTTCATTTTTTTTCTTCATATTTTACTGTGGTATATACTGCCTGCGTGTTTTTTAATTGTAACGTCACTCAGGCAACACATTCTTAATAACATCTGTAACCTCATTGAGAATTCTGTTTTGAGTAGTGTGGGATCAGGTTCGTATTTTTCCCAATAGAAAGGTGTTCTTTTGTTGGAAGAACTATTGGTTGCACATCTGAAATTCTTTTCTAGAAAGTGCTAGTCGATTCTCGTCATGCTTTGATTTAGCATGACTTAGAATCTATTTCTTGATAGGAACTATAGAAAAATCTGGGTTGGTTGTTCAGCACAGACAACCTAATTCATTTGGCATGTGACGACATGCATTGCATATTGAAACTCTGCAACCTTTCTAGTGCATCGTGAGTCATCTTGCTTGGATAATATGCTACTACTCTGTCCCATAATGTAAGGCGTTTTTGCAGTTCAATCTAAACTGCAAAAATGTACCTATATTATGGGACGGAGGGAGTAGCATATACTCTACTGTAAACCCAGCATGCAAACTTTTCAAAATCAAACAGAGAAATAGCTTGGTTGCTATCTAGATTTGGACTGTCGAAGATGAGATGGACCGGGGTTAAGTTCCGCGAGAATCACACAAACAACCATTACCTGATTTTCAAGACCATCACCATCTCCATAAATTCCAAGGGCTTTTGTTTATGATCACACTGTTTTGATTTCAGATGTCCTCCTGGACGACATCCTGGTGTTCATTGTTGCCGTACGCCTACATCTCCGCCGACTCATGTAGTGTTGCATTAGGAATTTAGGATCGAGATTCACATGCCATTTTATTGTCGAATGTTATTAGGTCAGTAGAGATATATTGATCTGTTTGACAGTATGTATGACTAAGCATCCTTGTGCTGCCGGCCGGGTTCCATTTCATTATCAGCATTGCATGTATATATACAGTAAGTAATCCAAAATTACTAGTTGCCCCTGCAGTTAGATAATGGCTGTGGCTAGGCCTCAGTCGACTGAGACTTAACAAAGTCTAAGTCAAGTGCCACAACATCTAGGAAAGAAAAAAGAAATACTAAAAAGAAAATTCTGCACGAATCTCCATGTAAGATCCCACTAATATATAACATCGACTTAACTTCAAGTCTCAGTTAATTGTATTTTGTGAGGCGCTCTGCTTTTCCCAAACCTGAATAAACCTTTTCGTTCTCTGAAACTCGTGAGTCTGAACCTGTTTATTGACTGACTGGTCCGGTTGATAAGATTGGATCCAACGGTGGATCCTACCCGATTGTTTGACCATCACGATCGAACGGCACCTCGCGGCCAAAACATCTTATGATTAGGGTTTATTAGATCTGGACCGTCCTTATATATATGTATATCCGCCGTCTCATTGTTAATTCAATCGCATTGGCCGGCAAGTGCATGCACCATGGAAGACCAGCGGGGTCAGACGAGGCCGCGCAAGAAGGCACGCAAGTTCAAGTCGCCGCCGGCGGTGGGCTCCGGCAGACTGACCGCGTTTGCGCTCCGCCTGGCTAAGAAGCTCGCCGAGGGCGACGACACCAGGGGCAGCAACATCGCCTTCTCGCCCTTGTCCCTCTACACCACGCTCGGCTTGGTGGCCGCCGGAGCACGGGGTACAACTCTGGACGAGCTCCTCGCCCTGCTCGGTGCCTCCTCGTCCGACGAGGTCGCTGGCTTCGTGCGTGGCCTCACCGCAGCTGACACTGAGCCGTCCGGCTCCGGTGGGGGGCCGCTCATCAGCTACGCCTACGGCGTGTTCCACCAGAAAACTATGGAGCTCACGCCGGCCTACCTCCGCACCGCCGCCGAGTCCTACAAGGCTGAGATACGCGCCGTCGACTTCGCTCAGGTATCATATCAATCACGAAACTATTCTTCTTCTTCTTCTTCTTGGCGCGCCGTCGATCGCTGCCGTTTGACTTTGACATTGCCATGTACCGATGTGCGTCGTTATAAGTGTTACAACGTGCGTGTGTGTACGTAGGAAGGCAGCAGGGAGAAGACGAGGAAGGAGATCAACGAGTGGGCGGCGGCGGAGACGGACAATCTCATCCCGGAGATCCTGCCGGAGGGGTCACTGTCCGACGGCTCGAGGCTCGTGCTCACCAACACCATCTACTTCAAGGGCGTGTGGGAGAGCCGCTTCCCCGAGGCCCTCACCGAGCACCGCACGTTCCACCGCCTGGGCGGCGCCAGCGCCGCCATCATCGTCCCCTTCATGACCTTTTATCCGGGACTGCACGGCCTCTTCGTCTCCTACCACAAGGACTTCGACGTGCTCAAGCTCCCCTACAAGACCGGCAGCGACGCCACGGCCCGGTACTCGATGTGCGTGTTCCTCCCGCACACGCGTGGCGGGCTGCGCGCCATGACCAGCGCTCTGGCAGCCCGCGGCTCCCTGCTCGACCACGTGCCGAAGCATACGATCAAGGTGACTAAGCTCCTGCTGCCCAAGTTCAAGCTCTCCTTCTTCTGCCGCCTCGCCGAGGTGCTCGAGAGCCTGGGACTCCGGCAGGCGTTCAGCGAGGAGGCCGATCTGTCCGGCCTGGTGGAGAGGAGCGTCTGCGACGTGCGCTTGGACGAGGTGTTCCATAAGGCGGTCGTTGAGGTGAACGAGGAGGGCACCAAGGCGGCGGCCTGCACCGCCGTCAGTGGCCGCAGGAAGCAGTGTGCAATGAGGGTGACTGCGAGGGAGTTCGTCGCCGACCACCCGTTCGCGTTTTATATAGTGGAGGAGGTGTCCGGGGCCGTGGTCTTTGCCGGCCATGTCCTTGACCCTTCTTCTAGCTCACAGTAGTAGTAATAAGGCAATTGGATTTCCTAGTTACAATTAGTACTCCCTCCGGTCCTTTTTACTCTGCACATTGGATTTGCCGAAAGTCAAACTTAGCTAAGTTTGACCAAATTTATATTAGAAATTATTAGCATCTATAATATCTAATAAATATAATATGAAAATATATTCCGAGATGAATCTAATGATGTTGGTGTTGTTATGTAAATGTCAATAATTTTTTATATAAACTTGGTCAAAGTTGGATGAGATTGATTTCAGACAAACCTAATATGCAGAGTAAAAAGGACCAGAGGGAGTACTAGTAAGTATGCTACAGGTTTCAAGTGAATAATAAATGAAACAATTCGACTATAAATAAATCTTCCGTTGCTATTTCACGCTTTGGTCCCGTTGTATATATTTTCTTTTATTGTTTAGGCATCGATGGACAATCCAAGCATCTCTGTTGCGGCTATTTAAAATGATTAATTGTTTACTGTCATGGAGTCTAAAGATTTGTGTTTGAGACTTTGAGTAGCCTCCACAGGAGAGACAAGGAGTTTCTATCCACAAGAGGGACATGGAGTTTCTGATCCTGAGCTCGTATGCACCTCGATGATAAAATCCAGAAATTAGTACTCCCTCCGTCTAGGTGCATAAGTTATCTATGGTTGTGCATCGCGGCCAAGGCAGAGAGAAAAACGAGATAATTTAATATTTATTTGCTAATTAATATGATTGCATGCAATGAGTTGACCACTGCATGTCGTATTTGGTAGTCTCAAGTGATTAAAATCATACAGGCCTCACATCTCTTATTGGTTGATTCTTTTATTTATATAAAAAAAGAGGTGTGAGTTAATGCACCGCGCCCAAGTGTTTTGGGATTAATTGATTTTCGTAAGGTGATTTATACGCCTAGACGAAGGGAGTATAAACAAATCAAAAAATAATTATTTTTTTAGTCAAAATTTTGTGATGGAATAACATTCATGGAGATCTTGGCAAAAAAAAGAGGAAAAAATCGATGCTAAAAAAAACATTTTTGGAGCATCAATTATGTTTTAGTTGCCCTGGCCTCCACAAATGTCATCCCAAGACCAAAATTTGCACGCAGCTCAAATACTCGCCAATGTCTATTACTAAAAAGATCTGAATTTTTGATTTTTTTTCTTTCAGATTTTACTGCTTGTCATGTTGCATGTGAGCTCGGGATGGGAATGCCACTTTTATCACAAGACTAGATCATTGATGGCGCGCGATGCGGCGCCCTTCTATTTGGATTTTTCTTAAATATAGAAAGACATGATCATGAACACTAATTAAATTTGCATATATCAACCCATATATTTGTGATCAACGTAAGGGAGGTTAATATTAATTGGTTTGCAAGAAGTAATGTAGCAGTATGGCGGAATATAGTTTTATCTTTGGTCTAATGGGATTTAGTCGGCGCAAGGACAGTCAACATGTGATGGGGTAGACAATTATAATAAATTAACAAAAGGAAAGGGTGATTCATGGTTGGAACTGTAAATTAGTACATGATGGTTCAATTGGAAGGTAGAAAAATAGAACTGTTACTTGAGGCGTTGTTCCGAGAAGTAGCAGAAGCACGGAAAATAAATGGATGGCAAGCAGATGCAATAGAATACCTAGCGAAACATGGAGAAGCACAAGAGCGAGAAATAAAAACAAGTTGATGAATCGAAGCCTAGACAAACGACACAACTAATTTAGTATAACACAGTAGCACGACATTGTATGACACAACGTGTGAAGGGCTTGCCAAAATGAAGTCACTCAACAAGTGGTTTACAACATTTACATAAAGTCTATTCTAAGCTTAAGAAATAACATAACAAGAAGTTGGCCCAACGCATCTAGGAATGGAATTACATATTTTCTGATCCAAAAGAACCAAAAATAAAGACCTTGCAGTCAAAATGATGCATAGAAAGCTTCACAAGAACATCAGTTGTAACGGTGGACTATGGAGGTCAATGGCATCTGCTATAGTGAGTCTATGCTATGATACCCGTAGGAAAAACTGTTGATTGCTGAGTAAAATGGTTCCTCTTGTGCACTCCATCTACATACGGCATGCACGTTGTTAAGGAAATAAAAAACCTGAAATTTTTAATGACGAGAGTGATACAAGGACTTACCAAAGAGAGAGTTTTCCTGGACCGAACAATGGAGCCTGCCGCTGCACATCATGGCTGCCATTGCCTCACTTGTCATCAGGAATGCTACCTTGGCCACTTGCCTCTTGGCACTCGTTTGCTTATTTGACACCTAGAATGCTTCTTCATGTAAGGAGTTCCGTTCCAGACCAGATTCTTGCGAACTCAAAACTAAGCATAATCACATAGGCAAGAAGTACAGAATCAGTTCAGTTAGGAGTGAAAAGAATTGCAATTGAAATCTTCCGCACATTTCAATCCATTAAACACAAAAGCAAACCATTCTAAATCAAGTGAAATTTCAATATTTGGCACTAAGTAGGTGGTCAATTGTTCTGGTGAACTCAGCAAAAAATGAAAATGGCGGGTACATTTTTGCACCGAAGCATAGATGACAGAACTGTTAAACACATCAACCGTACCACCAAAAGTATGAATCTCATCAAACTGTGTACACATCGTACCAGCTCTAGATAGAGAGCATGATGGTAATGATGCATTTCACCTCCCGCACTCCCTCTAATGCTGCCTTACCAGGCTTTGTTGTTAATGTGAATTTTTTGCCAAGTGTAGCAATCAGTGGCCCAACATACAAAAAACAGAGACTTAAATAGTAAACATTGCAGCTGTACAGACCAAAACCAGCTTATCTCATGCATACATCTGTACCACAAACGTGATGTAATCCAATTAAGCTCCATGCACCTATAGTGAATAGGATTAAGTTAACAACATGTTCCAGAAACTAAAGGCAATGAGTTAGTTAAAGCATAAGAATAGACATTGAACAATGATGCGAGGAATACCGCCAGATGTAGCCCAACGTCAACTGCCAAAAAAGCAAAGCAAGAACGAAGTATACCTCCCGAAAGCACATCTTGGCATAGGGTTTAGCGGAGTAGCACTCATGTACTCGGTTGGCTTTTCAAGCTAGAAAAAATGCATCATATCCTTGAATATTCACACAAATTTGAGTATTGTGAAAATAATGTGGGTTGTTGTAGCTGCATGGGCACACAGCCACTGCTTTGCTTATATACATACTTTCCATCTAAGAAAACATATGGGCTTCTATGATGCCTGTCTGAAGTTAATTTAGTGCGGATGCAGATTAATACAATGCGACAAAACCTGGAAATAGATCAGTATGATATTACCATAGGCTCATATGGTCACGCTATTTGTCCCAATCATAAATCATATGGGTCTAGATAAACAATTTTTATGTTATATGTCTTCAAGAAGTATAGTTACATCGGGCAGAGTAAAACACCTTACTTATTTGTGATTTCTCTCTCATGAGAAAAACGATTCAATATTCATTTCCAGGGCCTGTACTGGGCAGAGGCCCGGGGTGAAACTAAAATCCGAGACACCCAAAAGGTGAGTGGTCAAATAATACACTCATATCAAATACTACCTCTATCCAATAATTTGAACTGCAAAAACATCTTATATTGTGGGACGGAGGGAGTAATTTATAAGTATCACCTTATTTTAGTGGTTATCATATTACCTTAAATAATGTGGCTGCCTAGTGGTCGAACATGTGAAATCTTGAAGTCGGATGGCGCCGCACATAGGCACAGTAATCCTGGAGCTTTGAGATCAATCGTCACACATAGGCCTGGTCGTGGTCATAGGGTTTGACCGTTTGAGTGAGCAATCTGTTTTCTGTAAAGATTTGTCACACAAAATATATCAAGATTCGATTGTCATGGCAATAATGATTCTGTCGCAAGTGTACTTCGCATTTCTGTACCAGAAAAAAGAAGTCCAACAATAGCGCACACTTTCTTCATACCCGCATAATGGTATGAAGGTTCAGTCAACTGTTTACCCAGCAATCCCAATTGTGATACTTTTAAAGCAAAGTAAGATCAAACAAGATATAAGTGCCTCCTGCGGTCCTGCCTCGCCTTTTTTATTGGTTTTGCTGTTACTCTGCCTAATCCTTCGCTGAAATTTCACATATAACATCAGGTTCATGAGACATGAGCAAACAAGACGTTGTTAAGCTTTTCCGTTTTAATCTTATATCGATTATGGATTACATGGGCAGCACATAACCGATTGGATTAAGATGCATTAATGAGAAACTGGGCATGGTGCCGATGAGATGAGAATTTCGGAAGGCAGGATGGGATCGAAGCATACAGTATTGGGGCCGGAGTAGAAGGGCTTGCATGAATCTGTTGACGAACTCGTCCCATGAACACCATCACTGCGGCGACGCTCTTCGGAAGCTAGGGCCCGGCCGGCGGGATGGTATAGATGGGCCCCTTGGAATTAGGGGTCGGGGTGGCCGCCCCGATCGCCCTCCAGGACCGGGCCTGTTCGTGTCCATGGCCACCAGTACAGGAGGTGCTCGTGACATTTGCCTTGCCTCGCGCAACCGTGAGGCGTGAGCTAGGGGCTTCCCTGTTGGGGATTCAACCAAATCACATGGCGGGGACAGAAAAGGATGGTCTGCAACAGCGAGGAGGATCAGAGGCAACGAGGGCATACTTGAAACGTGAGGGGATGGCGCCGGCGGCGCTATAGATTCGTCTCCCCGAGTCGAGATGTGCGGCCGCTCAGGGACGAAGGGGAGAACCGTCAGCACAGGAACCACGACAAAGGCTGTACTGCCTCCTGTTGGGCCAGTTCGTTTGGCCCAATCAACCAGAAACCAGGGATTTTTCTCCCAGAGTAGCGTCCCCTAGGACAGTCGGCCCAGGAAACGGCATACGTGGTGCCACCTTCAGATCTGACGGTCAGGAACGTCCAAATCGGGAAAACGGATGGCCAAAAACTCAAATTGATGTGATGTCAGGGATTAGGTGCGGTTATACT